AAAAATGTGGTAAATGTGTTGTTTTCTGTTTTGTTTTACTCAAGTGAAATCTTTTCTCTTCACATTTAGCAGTGTTTACTTGTGCCTTTGACTTCTTTGTGAGTAGGCTATGATGAGTGATATTACAAATCTAAATCTATATATACCTATATCCATGTATATTTGTGTATATATGTGTGTGTGTGTGTATTTGTAATTTTGTTACCCCTGTAGCATATTGAACCTTTGAAAGAATATAGCATTGACTGACTAATTCATTATTAATTATTAAACAACATAATATCATCCAAGTATCCATTCATTATTGTTCCACATAGAACAGTTGCATACATTTAAAAACTGCAAATTTTTACTAGAAAACATCCAGCCTCATTCTGAGTATTCACTGTATGTGGATAACCTATACTATGTTTAGGAGCTATGGAGAAGGTCTAACTCCATGTATTTCCCTTAGGGTTCCTATGCTCTATTGTTGAAAAGAGATCATTCATATAACCATCAAGGAAGTCTAGTGTAGCTGCTCTATAACCAAACTTCTTGGATTCAAATATTCTCCATTTATTGGAAGATCTGGTGTGAGCCCCTTAATCTCTTTGGGCTTTTGCATCTTTGCAATGAAATTATAAATTCATCTCATTTTTTAAGTCTTTAAATGAGTTAAAATGTCTAAAGCATTAGAACAGAGCCTGGAACATAGGTATACCATATAAGTGAATAGAATCCAGTGGAAGTTATCAATACCCAAGTTATTCTGACAAATAACAGAATATTTTTCTCTTGAATTTGACATCAATACTTTAATGATCATGAAACCATAGGAATTAATGAAGCATTTTCTCTTTTCAGAACATTAATTCATTCTTTGTGTTTGTGGTTCAAAGGAGGGAGGGAGGAGTATACAGTTTTCCTTTTCCTGTTCTTAATATAATTTTGAGAAACTAGTCTATAAAAGAGTTCTGAAATGTGACTTTTATAAAAGCAATAATAACCCCACCTGACTCTTACCCCAAACCCAAGGATTCTGGAGGTCACTGACATCTGAGCTCAACAGACCCTTCAAAACAAAAGGAAAATATGTCAAATGTTAGTCAAGTGCCATGACCCAAAGGAATAATCAGATAGATCATGTTCAGTGGTGTGTATAACATAGAAAATAAATACATAACAGGATTATACTAATATCTTGGAGCATGGTTATCCTTTGGTGAATCCCCATGTGGCATGATCTACCATTTGGTCTTAAGTCTTCTGAAATAAAACAACTTCTGTAAATAAGTAATTGATTTTGAATATTACAAGTCTACAAGGAAGTAGACTGTGAATGAACTTGAATTTCTATTAAAAATTATTTCCCAGAACGAGGTATGATTTAGTCCACTACTATATTTGTTTATTGGGGAAAGGTTTGCTCTAGTATTGTGAAGAGACCACTGAGAGCTAATGAAGGGGCACCCACCAGGGCTTGGTGTACCATGACGTGACAAGCAAGAGCCAACATTGAATCTAGGAGATCCAAGATGTCTACCAGAAACTCCACAAGATAATTTAAATAGAAGTGTCATACTGTTTGGCTTTTTCTTCCCTTTGAGTTTTTGAAGCTTTTAAAGATTCCAAAAGAAAGTCACCATTTTTTTAATTCACTGGAGTAGTTCAGAGTCAGAGGTAGTGCAGGTCTTTGGCACTCTAAGTTCACCATCCTGAGCTTGGGCAGGTCGGCAAGAGTGGGGACTCTAGATCTGAAGAGTGGTCACATTATTGGCTTTTTCTCTGGAACCCTTGTTTCTTTAGGTCTCATGACTGTTTTACAATTCTTTTCTTATACACTGAGTGGCCAGATTATTATGATCTCTGAACGCTTAATAAAATGGCCACTCAGTGTATATCCTGTATAATAAAAGGCTAATATGCAAATTGTCCCTTCGACCAGCAGGCAGGCAGGCCGGCCAACCACCTGTGTCCCCTCCCCCTGGCCAGGCTGGCCATATCCCACCCATGCACAAATTCATGCACCAGGCCTCTAAAATACAGACACACACACACACACACACACACACTGAGTGGCCAGATTATTTTGTGTTCAAAGATCATACTATATCTCTCTGGTCACTCAGTGTACTAGAGCTTCATCCCTCAAGAGGGGTTTATTTCCTGGGTTCTGATTTCCCCTCATTTAAAATACTGCCTGGTGGTCTGATTAGTGCTTCTGAGACAGAAGACAGATTTTCTCCAACTTTGGTTATTTCATATGTCTTTTCTTATCCCATTTTCTTATAACTTCCCCATTTCTCTTCTCAGTTCTGGTATTATTTAGTGTTTCCACAGCATGTTAGAGCTACTTCCTTGTGATCATTTTTAGTAGTTAAACAACAAATCATATGCAGAGCATGAGCCAGTACATTGCCAAGGAATGAAATGAAAAAGCTCCGCTAAATCAAGCTTCATAATTTCTTTTAAATAAAACTCTACTCTGTCCTTTAGTGTGGTCTCTGTTTTTAAAACTTGAGCCATTAACCTACTGTCATAGAGGGTATTACATGGTCTACTGCATGAGTGATTTAGATTTATATAATAATTGAACTAAGAATACAGTGGACTACTTCCCAGAGTTAAAAAAAGAAAAAGACATTTGAAAAAAATGTTTCTGGAATGTAACTATTGGATTTAAAAATTTTTGTTTATTTCCTAAAGGCCTATACTATTTTGGAATTTCTTCACATTTTCTAGAACAGGACACATATTCTAAAATAGGAATTCCTACTTGCCTTGTTATCTGATTACAAATATATTCCAGAATAATCCCTGGCACATAGTAGGTGTTCAATAACTATTTGTTGACACATTGGCCTTCTGCATTTCTTCTTACTAGGGTATTGTTTCATTTTAAGCATAATATTCAATAAATTCCATGTGCCATTGTATGATTTTTCTTAGGTATTTATATAATAACTCTTTACCTCTCTAAAATCCAGCTATTTAGTAGTCTCACCAATGTGGAACCTGAACCTAAGATAAAAAAAGTAAACAACTGATGTCTGCTATTAGAGTTTAATATATTCTGTTTAAAAAGGCAGGGAAACATGATACATCTGGGAAATCATGTCATCCCAAAGGTTTGATAAGGCACAGAACTATAATCAAATGTATTAGGGTGGCTGTCAGCAAGTCGATTCATCTCTTTGGCTTTGGTTTTCTTATCCCTTAAATGTGAGAGCTGTACTCTCATCTCTAAGGCCCCTTCACCTCTGTGATTCTCCAGCTACCTGCTCTTTCCAGGCCTTTTTGCTCATCTGTAAAATGAGGGGGTGGACAAATATCCAAGTCTTAACTATATGTGACTTATTTAAAGGAATGAACTTAAAGCTATCCAGAAAACCTAGCTATATAGAATGGCCACTCCCCTAGGGCATTGGTTAGATTTTATAGCAATGTATAGTAAAAAAGACTAACTCAGTGCCTAGGAAAACTTATGGGACTGGTTAAAATTACCAGAAATCATACTTCATAGGGAATGTTGGCTGTAGTGTATATAATTACTATGTTGTTAGATGTTTTCTCCCGCTCTTCTAGGCTGTTTGCGATAAGAGGAGGCATGTTTTTCTTCTGTTCCTTGGGGTACTGTTGATAAGTGGTATGCAACATCACACCCCAAGCAGGTGAAATGCACTGTTGGACAGCCCCCTATCCCTGCATCTGTTCTCGGCAGTGGTATCTGCTTTCAAAAGTCTGTGTTTGCAGAACTGCTTGGTACTGATAGAGAGGAATGCACTAATCCTCTGATACTGACTCCAAAAGAGGAGGTTGGGGCAGAGAGAATGGGAAGACCAGAAAACATTTGGTTAGCAGCTGGTCTGTGATACCTAGCCAGGCTCCTTTCTAAGCATTGATGGAAATGAGTGACAGTATGGTGTCAGCAATACCATGCCCAAGATAATTTCACCTTTTAAAAGAAAGAAGATGAAATGAAGTCTCATTTCTCTGCAGAGAATGGCCAGTCCAATCTAGTTTAGTACTGCTTTTACCCTAGCTCTTCCCCTTCCTCATGAATGTTTAGTAGTCCTGTTTATATTGTCTGATTATGCCTGATGTTGAAGCCCCTTTAAGTTCTGTCCACGCATACACTCCTTCCTATGTATCCAACCTATTTCCCACAATTCCTCAACCTCATTCTAAGATGCCACGATATGCTTGATACATTCTCCTGCAGCTTTTGTTCACGTAATGCTTTCAATTTGCATATTCTTCCCGATAACTTAAATGCAATCTCTTCTTCAAAACTGCAGTCCCACCTTTTTCATCAGGTGTTCCCTGAGGACTCTGCTTTATTTTTCCCAAGCTTTGAAAGGTCCTCACATAACTGCAAGTTTAAATATATTCATATTCTTCCCTGTAGATGACATTAATGTTGCCTTCTGCACAACTATCGGTATAGAATGGAATACATAAAGGGTACTCTTCTAAACCTTGATTAGTAGGTTAAATTTCAAAGGCAGTTTTTGAAAAGAAAGGTGTGCTTGTTTTCTAGTCTGGCAAGGCAAACACAGTGATGGTAGACGCCATAATAGCAAGCCATGCACAGTGGACAGGTAAAGGATCCTCTACTACTACGTCTCATGGATGATCCTGGAAAGATATTTGTAGAAGAACTTTGAAATAATTGAGTCATTTAATGTGAGTGAGAGTGAGTATGTGACTGACAGGGATTGAGAGACAAGAAGGAGCGAGAGTTTACAGGGAGTTACATGGAGCTTGGTTATTTAAGGTAATGCAGTGTTCATCCCCTATCTTCCCCCAATCCTGCTTCCCAGCACACACCTTCTTTTTTATCTAACCTTGCTCTACGTCACCGCTTCAGGAAGCAGGCCAGGTCTGCTAAATGTGATCCATCACAACTCATTCTTAAGTTAAAGTCATGGCTAAGCCTTCAAGGTTATATTTATAGACTTGCAACTTCTGTGTCTTATCTTTGCTCCCAACACTGTTTCTTTCTTCTCCCAAATCAGGTCACTCCCACAGCCCAGTGTACCCATGCCTTGTTGAAGATGACTTATTGCTCCCACTGCCAGGGTCTAGTGACTGTGAAGCCGTGTTACAACTACTGCTCGAACATCATGAGAGGCTGTTTGGCCCACCAAGGAGATCTGGATTCTGAGTGGAACAATTTCATAGGTGAGCAAGCAATTCATGTGTTTGTGTCGCTGGAAATAGTTCCGCTTCCTGCCACAAGGAGTATTGCAGTTGTCAGCTCTGAAATTCCTGTTTGTTATTTCATGTTTGCCCATTTTAACTCCACTCAAAGTTCATACTATTCTACAAGTACATGTTCCCTTGGACTAACAGTGGCATTTCTGAAGACATTTGTCCCAGTGAATACTAAGTTTTAATAATGAGAAAGTGGCTTTTTGATATTTTCCACCCCAGAAGTCAGTTTGGGTAATGCATCAGGGGCTAGCATCCATGTAAATGCTAGTTTACAGTCATCACTGTGCTGCAAAAGTGGTACTGAAAATATTGTATCTGTTACACTGCAACCAAATCTTCACACTGACCAGATACCCATTGGATATTTGGATCAAGTGAAATATGGCGAGAGAAATGTAGGGGGTTCTCTTTCTATAGAGGATTTAACAATGACAGGCTACTCTGGTGAGATGGAAAAATGTTTACCTTGATAATATTAGAGGTAAATATTCTTGCATATACTTAAAACCTATAAAACTGTTACTGGAACCCAGACAGCACAGTAGTGAAGTAGCCAGTTTCCAAGAGGATTAATTATGATTTGTAGGGAAGGATAAATTAAGGATGATTTTAAATATTCACTCATTGACTCCCTTGATGCCTACCAAATACATGTTAGTCCTGAAGCATCAGTGTTGAAACTCCTAATACTGAGGGTCTAGTTGGCCCACATACACATACTGATAGCTCATACAAACAGGCTCAGATTTTTTTCCATCCCCAGTCCCCTTTGCATAATAGCAGAATTTGAGTATTTTTATAAGCATCTATTTTTCACTTATTTGTCCACATCATGGGAATATGTATGCAATGTGCTGGCTTTTTTTTTTCTTTTTTCTTTTTTTTTGTGGAGTGGGGAATGCTTTTTAGTCTGCATGAGAGCTAATTATCATTTTAACTCTGTTTGAAAGTGCATCAATAAATTGGCTCCAACAGATTCTTGCTAACACTGACACAGGAAAGAAAAAAGATGTGAATATTAAGCACTTCAGCACAATTGTAGCCTAAATAGCTCAAAGCTAGAAGACCTGAAAAAAAAATCTTCTATGCACAGAAAAGCAGTATCCCATGAAAGGGAATGTATAAGACCAGCAAAGGCATGCACTCATAAATGGCACATCATGCCCAGAATGAAGCATGGGAGAGAGGGTTGCTTTAAATATTCCAAATGGAAATAAAAGCCCATGGCACTTACAGATCTAAAGTTGATGGTTTTTTTCTTTCTCTTTTTTTATCCCACTGTCACCCTGTACCCAAATGTCAAGTTTGCAGTTTATTTTTTGCTGCATTTATTTGTTTTAAGTTGGTAGCCTTTTTACTTTCCCCTATAACTTCTAGCCCACTAGTTCTCTGGGCAAAAGGAATAGAATTTGCCATATGGTACAAAAAATGTATAGTGACAGTGATCTAGTTTTACGAAGGGCATGTCATTTGCATTATCCTATTCTAATATTCTGTCCAAAACTATAACTCATATTCTATATTAAAATACAAATTTTTATACATATATTTCCAACAGTTTGCAGGTTCACATAAAATCAAAACCATACTTGGCTTACTTAATAAATATTCTCAATAAGGTAACCTAAAACAAGGAGGACTTAAATTCTTGTTGTGTGTTTTAAAAATTATATTTATCTTTTTTATTTATTTAATATATTTTATTGACTTTTACACAGAGAGGGATTGAGAGAGATGGAGAGTTAGAAACGTCAATGAGAGAGATACATCGACTGGCTGCCTCTTGCACACCCCATACTGGGGATGTGCCCGCAACCAAGGTACGTGCCCTTGACTGGAATTGAACCTGGGACCTTTCAGTCCGCAGGCCGACGCTCTGTCCACTGAGCCAAACCGGTTTTGGCCATTTGTTTCTTTTAAGAAATAAAATTAAACCCCAGTAGAAATTGGTAGAATTTCTGAGTTAATTTTCCTCAGTTATTTTAAATGATACTTTTTGGAGGGCTGAGGTGTATAATTGTATTTAAACTTTATGTTTAATGGGTATTTTACTCTTTTTTTTTTTAATAAGCTGATATAAAAGGCCAAGAATAATAGACATTGTTATTCTCTGGTGCTTTTTCATGAATTTTCACAAGGGTCTAATTAATTTGCTCTGTGGTTGCAGAATTCAGCCCCAATTTACATGCCTCTGCCATACATGCTGTAAGTTTTTTATTTTTTTTTATTTTTTTTTATTTTTTTTTATTTTTTTTTTTTTGGGTGTGTGTGTGTGTGTGTGTGTGTGTGTTTATTTATTTATTTATTTTTTTGCAAGGAATTTTTCTTTCCCCTTTATATGATTGCAGCTAATGAATGGTCAAAGGTTTTTTTTTGTTTGTTTGTTTTTTTTCCCCCCTCTCACTTCTTTAAATCAGATCTTGGGGTTAAGTCTGGAAACTGCCTTTTGTTCTTCAGTCTAGTCATGAGGCCAGTGCAAAAGGAATGACTTGCCCTGGTGAGGAGGGATGGCTTTGTTGCTGGGCGGGGAGATCCTGAGTGCTGAGATCCTGCAGTTGGACTAGGCCAGTGGTACCCAACATGGGGCACACGCACCACAGGGGGGCAATTTGATAATTTGATTTTTAAGGGGGGCAATTCGAGAATGAGTTATTATAGTTCTAGGGGCCTCATGGACAGCATATAAATATGTATTCTGCCATTTATGCATTTCAGTTCTCTATTCTATGTTTTGAAACTTTATTTGCTATTTTTCATATCACTTCAAACTATTATTATTTTTAAAACTATTTCTCAGTGATTTCTTCCTCAGTACTTTAACTCTTCTTTCGTTCTTTTATTTTTCTCTTTCATGGATGCCATGTTCTTTGGATGCTTGTTTAGACCATGTTAATGACCTTTTAGGCTTCTTCCACATGAATAGAAGTTCACTTTTTAAAAAAAAAATTATTTTATTGCTATCAGAAGAGAGAGAGAGAGAGAGAGAGAGAGAGAGAGAGAGAGAGAGAGAGAGAAACATTAATGATGAGAGAGAATCATTGATTGGCTGCCTCCTGCATGCCCCCTACTGGAGCATGTGCCCTTGACCGCAATTGAACCCGGGACCCTTGAGTCCACAGGCCAACGCTCTATCCACTGAGCCAAACCGGTTAGGGCAGTAGTTCACTTTTTGAGTAATAAGAATTATATGTCATGGGGAAGCATCAGGATTTTAGAGATGCTTAGGTGGGGCATGGCCAAAAAGGTTGGGAGCCCTGGACTAGACCCTTTAAGAGTTTTCCAAATCTGCCTTCTGGTTGTCCTGCCCTTCCTTTCCTCTCTTTAACTGCATCTATTAAAGTATTACCAGCCTTTATCAAGGTGGTTCCAAATTTTTGAAACACTTTGGACTTGATTTTGTAAGAGATTCATTCTATGACACCTTCAGTTTGAATACTCTTCCTGCTCTCTGCCTCCAACCAAAAACGTCAGTTTCTGTAGAGTCATAAATTATGCTTAGGTGCCACTTGTCCTCCATCACATACTGTATTCATGTTAGCATTGTTGGACTTCTAACCAACCTTATTAATGTCAGTGGGAATTTCATATTGGGATATTGGGATTGCTGGTGGAGACACCAGCCAATTCCCGATAGGAGGCAGACAATCAAGTATCCTGTACATGAGACCTGTGGCCTGGTTAAACCAGAAGCAAACCAAAACTCCAAACCAACCATCCTTGGACCGAGATTGGTGCTTCTAGTCAGGGCCGGTTGCTGCCAGGAAGAGCCCAGTACATAACCACTCATGACTTTCCTCAGGGGTTAGGGGCAGCTTTGGCTCCTGGGCTACAGGCCACAAGCAGAATTCGCCCCCATTCGCATTCTTCAGCCTCGCAACACACAACGCCATGGCACCGGCCCCAACAAAGGCCCAGCTTCCCTCTCCATTCCCAGGCCCTTGTGTAGGGCAGGCTCAGAGTTTACAAAGACGCCAAGCAGCCAGTGAATCGGGGTTTATGTTTCTTTTCAGTCTTTCACAAACACATTAGTGATCTGGCCTTTCCTCGCCACTAGGGGAATACGTAGTTACCAAATGCACTGTTTTCGGTTGTTTAAATTCTGCATTTTTGGATGTTTATTATCTGTCTTCATAATATTTTTATTTGGAGCAAGAGCTGACTTCTCAGCTATGAAGGAATGTACTTTCTGTACGTGGTCTCCCCGCTGCTTTGACAATGATGAACACATTTAAGTTGTGCTCCACTTGTTTACAAAAGTCTCCCTTTGCTAACACATCAAAAGCATTTTTTCCCTCGCTAGTACAATGGTATATTCATGCTGGCAGGCTTTACTTGGAGGTTGGAAGTGTCATTTTATTGGTGCTTACCACAATGCAACCTGAGACTTCATTTGTTATTACTTGCAAAAAAAAATTGCATTTCACAGAAATCTATTTGTGGTTTGTGACATCGGAATTGTAGCTTAGAGAAATGACCCTGTGCTTTAAAACGGCTTGTTGGGTTTATTTTCGGTTGAAGGTGAAAGGTTGATGACCAAATTTTATTTCATTGATATGCTGATGCTGAAACTCCCTTTCACTGGAAAGCTTAGGTAGGAGTTCAGCTGTGGCCTGCAGTGTTCTTTGAGGACACACAATCTTGTGGAAATTAACCCCTGTCCTTGGACTACCTAAAGGTTGTGGCTAATGTGGCTCTCACTATCCTTTCCTGCCATGCTTTAAGCACTAGAGTATAAAGTGGAGAGAACATGATTACGTTTTCAGTTTCATTTGATTTTGCACAATAAGTATCAGGCCAAAATACGAAATCTCATAATCCCAACAAACATGCCTGGCAAGAAAACAAGTACAGCATATTTTGTTTAAGAGATTCAATGTGTGCTAAAACATTCCAGACTCTGCCAATATGTAAAAGCGACTTGAGTAATCAGTGAAGATGTGCTGTGAGTATGTGGTTTGTGTGCACTGCCTCTTGGGGTGTTTTCATCCAGAGAGGTACATCTTTTGTTATAAAATACATCAAGGCCCTTATATTTGAAATGGGAAATTTTTCTTATTGCCAAAATTTGTATTTTTCAAAATTTCATTCTTTAAAGTCATTAGAATTTGAAGGAATACTTCTATTTGTATTTTCTTAGGCATGTGGAAGAGTTTCCTTAAAAAAAATTACATGTTGGTATGCCAGGATTTTAAGGGATACACACACACACATTGTGTGTGTGTGTATCCCTTAAATATTAATATATTTTATTGATTTTTTTACAGAGAGGAAGGGAAAGGGATAGAGAGTTAGAAACATCAATGGGAAAGAAACATCCATCATCTGCTTCCTGCACACCCCCTACTGGGGATGTGCCCAAAACCAAAGTACATGCCCTTGACTGGAATTGAACCTGGGACCCTTCAGTCCGCAGGCCGACCCTCTTATCCATTGAGCCAAACCGGTCAGGGCGGTATATGTTTTTGACTCTTGTAAATGGAACCTGAAAGGAAAAGATCCCAGGAAGTCTGGGAGAGCTGGCATGTTATTCTGCCTCCAGCTTTTGGTTTGTCACCTGGGAGCTAGCTCAGAGCCTTACAGTGACAGCCACTGATACATGGAGGAATGAAAAAAATCAGTATAATGGAAGATTCCTGATTGGGTTTCCTTGCTGGAGAATGAAGCATTCATCTGGCCACTTCATACTTTAGGGAGCTGGCAATACATAGTGACTTAGTACAGTTTGGCATCATAGAAATAGATATAAAAACATTAATTAATTGTGATGTGTACCTTCCCCCTCCTCCCACTGGAAACAGTAAAATAACCAGAGACTGATTACCTCTGGGTGAACTAATTATTTACTTTTTGTGCTGTATTATTCTTCCCCAAACCTCATGTTAGATGCAATGCTTATGGTGGCTGAGAGGCTAGAGGGCCCTTTCAACATTGAATCAGTCATGGATCCCATCGATGTGAAGATTTCTGATGCCATCATGAACATGCAGGACAATAGTGTGCAAGTGTCTCAGAAGGTAATGAAGGCAGGATGTTGGGAAAGGGAGCCAGGGCCCCCCTCCGGTTTGTGATGTGACTTCCCTAATATGATCATGTTGCTCCGATGCAGGTTTTTCAGGGATGTGGGCCCCCGAAGCCCCTCCCAGCTGGACGCATTTCCCGTTCCATCTCTGAAAGTGCCTTTAGTGCTCGCTTCAGACCCTATCACCCCGAGGAACGCCCAACCACAGCAGCTGGCACTAGTTTGGACCAACTGGTAAGCACTTTGTCAGGAATGGCCATGTTTAATGACAAAAAATGAAAATAGTCGTTCAAAATACATTTTTAGTTGGAAGGCTTGCAAGTGTGGGTCTTCCAGGCGAAACTTTTCAAGCAAATTGGATGTGTCGGTAAATCTTCCTCGTTCATTTCTAGCTGAGAAAGTCCATATGTAGTCTAGAGAATGTGATGCAATAAGTCTTATTTCAACTCCCCCCGCCCTGTTGTTTCACCATGTGTTTACTAAGCATCTACTAGGAGCCTATCACTACTGTGGTATTTACGAGGAGGCTCAAAAGAATGAGTCCTTGTGCTGACAAAGCCCCAGAAGAGAGGGAAATGCAGATATTCTAGCTTACTAACTAGGGTGATATATAGTTAATGATAGGCTGGGAGAAGGATAAGAAAATGTAAGCAAGACTGCATTATACTAGTACACAGCAACGTGCTTCAAATGTAGTAGGAAAGAGCATAAGAGAAGGGGACAGAGAGCAGGGAAAGGCAAGTGTCACAGAGTGGACAATATTTGAGCTTGAGCATAAAAGTCATATGAGAAGAGACTGTGTCTTATTGTATCTACAAGGTGTGGAATCTGGTAGGCCTCATTGACAGTTAAAATGAAGAGGGAAGTGGACAATGGATCCAGGCAGCTCAGCTCCTTCTGAATATTTCGACTTTTAATTTATTTGAGTGATTTTGTAGTCCTAAGTATAAATTTGATCTTCATTTTTCTCTGGTGACTAAAGTTGAAAATGAATTGCATGTCATTCTGGAGATACTTTAGAAATGATCAAAAGGCACATCTATAAGGTAGGTTTGCGCTGTTTTATAGAGGTCTCTCTCTTCTTTTTCTTAATTAGGTTACTGATGTCAAGGAGAAACTGAAACAGGCTAAAAAGTTCTGGTCCTCTCTTCCAAGCAATGTTTGCAACGATGAGAGGATGGCTGCGGGAAATGGCAATGAGGATGACTGCTGGAATGGAAAAGGCAAAAGCAGGTTAGCCTTAGTTGCATGGATTTGCAATCTCTCTCTTCCTAAATGCCTGAGTAACCTTCAGGGAGTTGTCAATCAAGAAGCAACTTAGGGTAGGTAGCAACAACATGAAAGGCTTCTAGAGTTTCTTAGGAATGGGTTTTACTGTAGAGGTTTTGAGAAGGTGCCCACTTACTTGTACTGGGGAAAAACTTTGTGATAATAGTCATATACTAGCTTTCGGACCCCAGCCAGGGATCAAGCTGTTCCAATAGTGTCATATAAAATATTTAATATCTGTGGTCCTTTGCCCAATGGCTTGGCCTCATCCATCATCTTATTTGATGATGCCCTGTGACTCTCCCTTGCACATTCAGTAAATTAAATAGGTACCCACACTTCAGCACTTTACTCTGATCCACCAACCTCTGCAAAATGGGTAGCTTTCAAAAAGGTCATGGTCAAGTTGGAGAAACAAGATGTATACCAAGAGAAGGGAAAAAATAAAGTTCATTTAGAAATGGAAATTAGCTAAAACCGGTTTGGCTCAGAGCGTCAGCCTCCGGACTGAAAGGTCCCAGGTTCGATTCCGGTCAAGGGCATGTACTTGGTTGCGGGCACATCCCCAATAGCGGGTGTGCAGGAGGCAGCTGATCAATGTTTCCCTCTCATTGATGTTTCTAGCTCTCTATCCCTTTCCCTTCCTCTCTGTAAAAAAAAATCAATAAAATATATTTTTTTTAAAAAAAGAAAGAAATGGAAATTAATTGTACTCACTGCAAATATTAGAATCTAGGCAGAAATTTTTTGATCTTGTGCCACCTTTTGTCTTACTGATAATCTCAATGGGGTCATTTCTTATCTCAGGTACCTATTTGCAGTGACAGGAAATGGATTAGCCAACCAGATCAGTAATCCGGAGGTCCAGGTTGACACCAGTAAACCGGACACACTGATCCTTCGTCAAATCATGGCTTTGCGGGTTATGACCAATAAAATGAAGAATGCTTACAATGGGAATGATGTGGACTTCTTTGATATCAGTAAGCAGTTGTGGCTCTAAAGTACAAATTGTTCTTTTACGCCTTCCAATGAGAACAAGTGGAATGAAATCTCTATTCTGTTTTTTGTTAATAGGTGATGAAAGCAGTGGAGAAGGAAGTGGAAGTGGATGTGAGTATCAGCAGTGCCCTTCGGAGTTTGAGTCTAACACAACTGACCACTCTGGGAGGAATGCCAATGATAAAGCCAACCATGCTGGTGCCCGGGTTGAGGCCCAGCCCTACCTCCTCACTGTCTTCTGCATCTTATTTCTGGTTATGCAGAGAGAATGGAGATAATTCTCAATCTTAGAGAATATGTGTTCATCATCAGAAAGTTCAAAGGCACCAGTTATCACTTTTATACCATCCTAGTGACTTTGCTTTTCAAATGAATGGACAACAATGTACAGTTTTTACTATGTGGCCACTGGTTTAAAAAATTCTGACCTTGTTCTTTCATTCAGTTTTGTGGGAAAAAGGGACTTGTACACGACGTAAGTTCCGGCTTCCCCAGAATCATGTTAAACGTGGCTAGCAGTGTAGGTACAGAACTGTAGTTAGTTGTGCATTTGTGATTTTATCACTCTCTTGTTTTTCTTTATTGTTTGTTTTTGTTTGTGGGTTTTTTTTCTTCAATTATGATCTCACCTTGTTTCTTACAAGAAAACCAGGGTCCTTTCTTGGCATGTAACATGTACGTATTTCTGAAATATTAAATAGCTGTACAGAAGCAGGTTTTATTTATCACGTTATCTTATTAAAAGAAAAAGCCCAACAAGCAGTAAAATTTCCATGTATTCCCTGTTGTTTTAGTTGCCTTATCTGGAGAGAAGAGGAGGTGATTTTGCTTGTTATTATTAAGTTAGGACAGAATGTGAAGGCACAAAAGGTTTCTAATCCACTTGTCAGGGTGTATTCAAGCATCAGTATAAGAAGAATGTTATATTTCACTTATCGCTGGTGACTGGAAGAGACTGCAGGCTACCCATCTTGGTTGAGTTGAATTGCATAAACTAAGATCACTAGAACCATCTAAAGTGTAACTCATTGAAAAGATTCTTGATACATTTTTCCTAGAAATACATAAGGTCATATAAGGTGTCCCAGTTACCATACGTTCACACTTTGTTTAGGGGTGGGTTTTGTTTTGTTTTTGTTTTGTCTTGTCTTGTTTTATCCAGTCAAGTTAACAAGTCATTGTGTGCTGATCTTCGTGGCCACACTTGACCGTCTTTGAATTGATATCCCAATGGCAGAAATAAGTGACTAACGTCTCATTTTTGGTACCCCTTGTTCCAATGTTCCAGATTTCAAACCTAGCCATAGAGAGGGAGCTATCTAGGGGATAGAATTAGGGTGGGTACAGCCTGTGCTCAGGGAATAGCATTAACACTTAAGCAAAGTTTTTGTTGTGCATTTGTATTCATATTCATTTTGGGATCCCAGAGTTTTGTTGTTGTTTTTTGTTTTTTTTAAGAAATTCTAAGATGTCCTTTGTGTTTTTCTTGTTCAGCACCCTCTGATCAGAAAGGCAAATTACTTTCAGTGGTTTATAGCTGTGTGCTACCCCGTCAACCAAAAAACTCACTTGGGAGAGATCTTGGTTTTCAGATTCCAGATTTTATTTTTCATGTTTTCTTGTTTTTTGGCTGGTGGAGAGAGTAGAGCTGAGAAGACTACATCTTAGCGATGACCCTTAGCCACATGGGTAAAGGGGCATATGCCATTATCTGTTGTCTCAGGCTAAAGACTAACAGCTGACTTGGCCCCATATGAACTTTTTACTTGTGTCCTTACCAAATGACAGCTCATAAAACTATGAGAATGTAACAAATCACTTTAAAAGGAGTTCCCAAAAGCCCTCATAAAGAAGAAAATTCTGCAAGTCTCTTCCTGCTTTAGACAGTCATTAAGATCCCAACCAATTCTACAGAAGGTAAAACCCACGGAGAGGTTGTTTGTGTTACTGTTCAATCTTCAGTTGTAAGAGTAATTCTCTATTTTTATATTTAAACATAATTACTTGATAGCTCAGGGTCTACATTTCATTCAACTTTTTACACCAAATTCTGCAGGATGGTCAAAATGGAATATTGGGGGCTGTTGTAAACAGAGGCTTAATTTTATTAGAAGTAGTTATTTATTAAAGCATGATGTTAATAAAATAGGCATATTCTGGCTGGTGTGTATAAGTGATTTTTAAAAAAAAAACAATTCACAGAAGACAAAATTGAAAAGGCACTCCATTTATGTATGAGGAAAAATGGATTGTAAATAGCTAAGCTGCCCTGTGAGAACTTGGAAAATGTGCTGATACTTAGTAACTACCTCAGTTGTGAGGAATTTCCTTTTTAGCTTAGACTGCTATTACTTTTACTTGGTAGAAATGAATCTGGTCTCCAAAATGTGGCTCAAAGAGTTATCCCCATAGACCTTGTTAGATTGTTTTTAATTTAAAATCTTGAACTCTGCCCAGCTGTTTTCTTTCAGTCAAGTTCTCTAAACCAATAACATTTTCCGAATTAAATGTTCTTGAAGGTTCTTCTGGACTCTTACTGATTTGTTTTCTTTCTTTGTATTTTTTTTTCTGTTACTCTTTTATTATTTAAATTGTCTCTTGCTTTTGAACTTGAACTATGAAATAAACAAATCGTAGGTTTTTCCATTCAGGTCTGACTGGATAACTCTTGGCTTCTTACCAGCTGGCAGGCTCACCCTTTCCCCCCACCAAAAGAAAGAATAAAGGCAAGTTGAATATTTTAAAACCTGAAAAGTTCACAGTATGAGGTAGAATAAAAGCTATGTTAGGAGAATTGACTTTTCTAAAGCCTCAGTTAATAGCATGTGACGGGTTTGTGTTTTACAAAGTCACTTTTAAATTATTTTTCTTTCAAACCCTTCACCCACTTTCTTTCTTTAAAAAAACTGTTTTGTGATTCTTAGATTTATATTTTCTTTCAAAAGTAGTAATTAGCACCTATTATTTTGATAAAAGAAAAAGTGCAAAGAATTGACTTGCATCTTTTAACTTTAGTTCATATTAGAAATCGAACAGTTTATACATGAAGTAAAATTTATCATTTGTGACTATAGAACCAAAAGAAATAAGTGTAGATGGTTCTGCATAAAATTCTACTTTTCCATTTGTGTTGTCAGAGTATGCATAGCTAAAGGAAAGCATGTTAATAACAATATCTACTACAGGAGCGTGTGTGTGTGTGTGTGTGTGTGTGTGTGTGTGTGGTTACTCAAGCAAATGCCAAATTACCAAATTCGACTTTCTGTCTTTTTTAAAATGGGGGGAAAAAAGCACTGAGGAAATTCTTCCAACTTAGAACTCAGTGGAAAAAAACATAACAGCATTCCATGATACACTTCATAAATTAAGTTTCTACTTTTAAACACTTAATATTTTCTTCTAAAAATCCTTTTTATATATATGGAAAATATGTGAAAGATGAATTATAGTAATATAGGAATTCAAGTCCACTAGCAATATTTACTTTTCTAATTTATATTTTAAGTAGGTAATATATTGCCAGGGTTCAAAAATTAATATATATTGAACATTTCCCATTCGTCTGCCCAGTTATCCCCATGCCTAAACAATGTAGTTTTTATACACATCTTCTTCCAAAGTTTCTTTTTAGATATACAAGTAAATATGAATATTTTTCTCTTTTTTTAGACGAAATGTAGACTATTATACTCTCTCTATATTTTTTTTAACTTTAAAAAGTATTTAGAGGAGGGTGTGTTCCAAAAGATACAGATGTTTATTTAAAAGTCATGGCTTCTCCGTGGTACCACATTTTGGATTTTTATCGCATTTTGCACAGTTTAGGTAATTTTCCAAGAAACAAACATTGACTTGAACGAGGAGCAGTTTGGCATTATGGTTTTATAATCCCGGAGTGCATTATTAGTTAATTTTTGGTAGTTTGTTTCCATATTTTTCCCCGTGAAGAAGACATTGGCCAAAACAATTGGGTGCATACTCTTAGAATACAGTTTATTAACACTACTATTATTGCTTAGGAATGATTAAAAAGAAATGTGTTCTGGAATTTACTCATTCTATTAGAATGCAATACTTTTAAAGTTTTATCAATCCCAAATGCCTTGAAGCAGCATCAGCTGTAACACAGGCTAAAGATGTAATTAATATTAGGAAAATTTGCAATGATCTTGGTTACCGCATGAATTATCTGTCCGAAGGTTAAGGAGTCATTAGAATATGTAAATAACTGTACAAGTTCAGTTTTCATGTTAGGTCGAATTTTTGCTCATCAAGAGACTTGAAGTTCAGTAATAATCAGTAAAATTTACAAAAATCCATTTTCCAGCATTAGTGTCCACATGTGGAATTAAATGTACATTTTACTTTGCTTTTGATATTTCTTAAAGAAACGTTAGGAATTCTGGAAATAGCATAGTATTGTTGGAAGGAAAAAAGGTTTTCATGCATTAATCCTGCCAGGTAAAAGCTGATGGTGTGGTTAAAGAATGAAGATAAAGCCCGGGAGTGATGACCTAAGGTGCTTTTCTAAAGGTCTTATGGTCTTGTTCTCTGGGCTTTGGGAAAATGTTGCAACAGCTTCCTTGCCACTCAGTAATATTGTGTTTCTTACATGACAGGGTTGGAAGTTGTGTATGTGTGTATGTATAGAATCATATGTACACACAGAGATTTTTGTGTATTTTCAAACACTTAATCCTCAGTAGACAGGTAGACCTTACCCTGTCACTTATGGGCTGCCTTCCCCCTGCTGTCAGTGGTGTGTACTTGGGGAATGCAGGCTAATTTTAATGATAGCCTAAGGGAAACATAATTAGGAAGGTAAGTCTCCTGCCAAGAAAAAAAAAACACAACACGCACACAAAAAATGCATTCCAAATAGATTTTTAAAAAAAGATTTACCACTGCCTGGGATTTGCTTTTCTTTATCACGGTAGATAGCCTAAAACTGATGGTAACATGATGTTCTTGGTGACTCACTGCTCAGAGCTATTGGGACCTGGTTGGCCACAAAGAAATAATCATGGTCAATGGTTGATTTTCTGAATACACATTAGCATCTCAACCCTCTTTTGCTGCATTTGCCTTTAAAGGTCTCCAGTGCCCTTGCTCTCACTTTTCTTTGAAAAATAATGAAAAATTACTACTTTGCAGTTTCAGTTCTGAATACTTTAAAGCAAGTAGCAGCAGCAAGAAACAGTTATTGGGACATACTATTTACTGTAAAATGAAAAACAGTTATTTGTAGTTTTACCTGTCATCTCTCAACCAAGCAGTG